TATATATATATATATATATATATATATATATATACACACACACATATACATATATATATATATACACAAAGCTCCTGTTTGTGCTGCGCTCTGGTGAGGTTGTTGGGTTTTTACCGACTGGTGCTCCGAAAGCAGCCGAGACTCCGGCAGCAGCTCCAGCTGACACAAAGTCACGTTTCTCTGTGTCTCTCCGGAAATATTCAAACATCTACAAACACAATCAAACACATATTACTAGTAACATGATCTCACTCACAAACACACCTTAACCATTGAGACTATTTTAGAACATGTCAACAGCACACAACCATGCTTAACAGATGAACATTAAAACTTTGAATTAAGGAAATCTGAATATCTCAGAAAGCAACTTCAGTAAAACAAGAATACAGCGAGTGTTTGTAACAAAGTAACTCCAACTAAAAGTAAACATATGACTGTAATCAAATATACTTCCTTCTGTTGAGTAACCTGTCACACACACACACACACACACACACACACACCTTTAAGTCTTTCTTTAAAGTGGTGCTCCTGCCCTGTGAGACCCCGGCAGCTACAACAGCACCAGAGTGAATCATGGGCCCTTCCTGAGGGATTGTGGGTAAACGAGAGGAGACAGGTATGAGAGGGAATTCTTGGCATTCATTTACAAATTCAATCCGTTCAACTTTGAATGAAAATGAACAACTATGAAAGCAAAGACATCAGTGCAGTATGTGTTCTGTAAATGTCTGTAGTAGCAATCACGTGTGGGTTTGTCTTTGCAGTGTATATCTGGCTCCGTCGACTCTTTACAGCAGCCTTTTGGTGAATTGAGCATCTTGAATGTGCATTAGGGAGAAGTAGATGAGCGCCAACGTTTACCTTTCCGACAGCCAGACCGCCAACCACTGAACAGATAACACCAAACACTTTCACCAGCAGAGTCTGTGGGGGACAAACACACAACATTGTTCAAAAAGTGGTTCAAGGGCATCCATGATGTGTGTGTGTGTGTGTGTGTGTGTGTGTGTGTGTGTGTGTGTGTGTGTGTGTGTACCTTGAGTCGTACCACCCTGGGAATCTTGACTCCGTTCAGGTAACATTTTATCTGAGGAATTCCACTTCCTGCTGCTATGGGCTGGATGAGACAAAGGAGAAACAGAGGAGAGGTATGTTGAAGGAAGAGATGGTATATAGAGAACTACAGTATTTATGATTACAGCAGTAATATCCGAGGATGTGATCAGAGGTATTTATATATTTACACAGTGAAATCTCTCTCTGGGTTTCACATGAAATGGCATTAACTGCAGGCTTTATGTGGTAATAAAACCCTGACTGAAGCACATTTTTTGATCCGTGTGGTTGCAGGAGGAAACTTAAAACCTCAGCTGACCAGCGAGTAAACTTTGATTAACCAAAGGCCACAAAAAAGAATCACATCCATCTTTATAAATTTCACTATTACGCACTGTTGGAATCAAACGGGTAGACACGCTGTTGGCTAATTTGATTTCACTTCCCCATCTGTATGAATGGATTGTAATTCATACACTGAACTGATTTACTTCCTCAAAATTCACGATCACACTCGAGGATTGTGATCAAGCACACAAAAGACTGAAACACGGGTGGAGTCGTGGTGTTGAATAAAAAAAAGTCTCCTCCAGTCTCACCTCGAAACACGCAACGAGGATGGCCCCCACCATGACAAAGACGGAGTTGATGACAACCCAGAGGATGAGGGAGATCGACAGGCCGCCCACCTCGGTAAACTTATCTATGTCTGTGAGGGGTCAGAGGTCAAGGAAAAACTCAAAAGTCCTGACAGCACGTGGCTGAAACTAGTATTCAAGTTCTTGTACTTAAAGTACCAAAACTAACCTTCTCATTAGGCAGAACGGCCCGTTTCAGAATCATGTAGGCTATATTACATATTTAACTCTAATTATTGGGGCATTAATGTATTCATTACTTTAGTGTTGCAGAAAAGAAATGTAAAGTAATATGAAGAAATATAAAGTAGCAGAAAGAAGCAGGATTCATCTATCTGAAAAGTAGATTATTCGTTTCAATATTATAAATATTATAGATTTATTAACTATCAAAGTAGTCCTTAGGTGCAGCCCTAGTATCTTGTACAAATGTTCAGGATACTCTCTTTGACCACTCGGTATTTGATCCCAGCCATTTCCTCCACCACGATGTCTATGAAACAGGCGATGAGGCCGGTCAGGAAGCCGATCAGACCACAGACCACCCAGCGACTGATCTCCAGACAGCGGAAACCCTAAAAAGGTACAAGATGAGGGAGGAAAGGAAGCAAGAGGTCAGGAGACAAAGCGAGCAGCAGAGGAGAGATGAGAGAAAGAAAATACACAAGTTCATACACAGGGAAACATTAAGATAGTACAACATACATTCAGGTTATTCCCACTCTACTTACCATGTAACTCATCCTCCTCTCCTCCTCCAGAAACAGCTGGTTCTCAATGTTATCATAGTCCAGACTCTGTAATAACACACAATACAATAAATACAATCGATCAGTTAAAAGGTGATAATGTTTGCTTCTATTCTTCATGATAAACACAGATCTTGTGACGTCTTTGGATCAATGTCAGCGAGTTCATATCAAACCAAAAATATGTTAATACAAAGCTGATTCCAGTCTGCTTAAGGAGATTATTGCCCTCTTTGTTGCCGACAGATGTTACAGTTTCATGGCCTGAACACATATACCTCTGTTACCGACTCCTTTTACTGTTTTCATTGCTTCCTATATTTAGCAAGACTCCTACAAAGTGTCACTAAAGTAGGAAACATTCAAATCTTACACACGAGGCTTTAATTAAAAACAGTTTCTAGAATCGTTTGATAATCAGCTGTTTGACGGCTGGGTGGTTTTACCTCAAATTTAAGTGACAGCAGTTTCTCGTTGTGAGGGATCTCTTTAGGCCGCCCCCGAAGAGAGTCCTGCTGGGAAAAACACAGATCACCAAATCAACACTGATCTTTAACCTCTGACCTGTTGAATCATGTGAGCGGCTGCAAAGAGCTGGGAACTAAGTTACTGACATCAGAGGAAGCGAACATTTAGAATATAACAGCAGCAATTCACAAACATTTAAAACAGAATGAGAAAGAGAGGACAGCGTCAACAGACTTTATCTAACGTAGATACTGGAGAATGAATAATGAGGCAGATGGAAGATTCATACATGTCAGCTAAAGGCAATTAAAAACAAGAGCCCCTCTTCACATCTACATGCAATGTGAAGAGAGTCACACCACTGTGGCCCGTCACACAATCAGAAGCAAATAAAGCAAAAAAGAAGTAAGTGACATTCATAGAAACACAAACAGACTGTAAACAGATAAACAGTATTTAACAAGCGTGCAGATCACATGCACGGCATCACATTCCCATCAGGCATTGCAAACAGAGCTGAATCTGATGGTTTCTGTCACGGAAGGAAATGTGATGCACCGTGAAGCTAAGTGACGGTAAAACGTCAGTCGCATGGTCTCGTCCTGTTCTGTCACCACTGACTGTGGCCTCAAGCTTTTGATTCGGTGGTTGAGTCTCACACGCTGAATTTAACGGACTCATTGTGATCTTTGGGGGGCATTTATGGGATTTATTTTATTGCCCGATTACCTGAAACTAAACAAATAAACTTGATGAAACCTCACTCTGGTTTCAAACCTATTAATACGTGTTTGGCTTCACATTTACAGCAGGAGGGTTTTGATAAGTCTGTTACAAAATCCTGAATGGTTGAGCGGTCAGGGTCGAGCTGCACACGGCCGGCATCGATTCATCATTTGCGATGCGCCACAGTGGAAACCTTCAGACAGTTTCCAAACACGTGTCTTTCATTCACGCTGGATGAGTCAACTGTGCCCAGTAAAGCAGCTCGTCTAAAGCCGTATTCAGCAGGGAGGAACTGAGATTAAATATAATACAATAACGTTTGAAACCTCAACTTCATCTCAGGCCGAGTCTCACAAATCAGGCTTTAAGGCTCCACGTGTAGCCTGAGCACGAGGCCGAATCACATTAAATCTACTGTAAATGCCCCCCCAACACGCAGCTGGATACGTTTTATTTTGTAATTTTAAGACAATAGTTGTTGATAGTTGTCATTGTAGTGGAGAAATGCTGCAGACGGTCTTGGTGGAGCGATGATAAAGGAGCGACAGACACAGAGAGAAAGAGAGCGATGACGTTTTCGGACTCAGACTTTACCTCCTCCGACGATATCTCCTCCTCCAAATCCACAGTGCTGAGTCTGCCTATCTGAAATATACGGCCTCCTCCAGACAGCTACAGACATCACAAACATCAACAGACATATATGTATGTTTGGCTTTGTGTGGCAACTCCTGAGCTCATGTTCTAACATCACACAGATGCTGATATTCAGAGAAGAGTAACAGGCTCCAAGAAACTAACGACGCATGTACGATCAAATGTACAAGAGCACATTATGATAAGAACTACTAGGATAGTTCCACCTTTAGTCCTGGTGGTGCAAGAGGTGGCTGACTGGTACTGGTGGCGTTGGAGGGGAAAAGGAAGTTGGATTTTCCTGTGTGTTTCAATATTAGAGGGACAGATGACTTCATTCAGTCTGAAGGTCTACTAGCTGATGTCATTATCAGAGCTTGATAGTATTCTGTTCTCTAGTAAACTAAAAGCAACCTTGTGTAGGATTAAAACGGCACAGATTACCTTAAATCTTACGTAACCTGATTTTATTACTTGAGAAGTGCAGCGGGCATTATACTCTTTGGAACTGACTCATAGGTTACCTTATGTTCTTCATCATCATCCTTTCTAAAGTTAGGACTGTTAAGTTGTTCATAATGATGCATGTGTCCTTAATGTTCATACCAGGGAATGAACAAAGTAACAAGCCAGTGGAAAGCTTTGCAAAACTCTCTGTAAACCTATTATTTGTTTAAAGTAACTGAATCTAACCGAGTGCATGGTGCAAGTAATTCAATCAACATTCATTTAATTACTTTTCATGCAGTTACATTCCAAACAAAGCTTGCTGTTGCATCTGATGCCCTCCCCAAACTGCAAAAATACCATAACACATGAAAACACACCCCAAAAAATGTCATTACAAGCATTCATAACATGCAGCATTTAAAAACAAGGCTAAACGTGACCTAGTAGTGGTTAATAAACACATGACACAGCATCTTGCTGCAGGAGTAACAGCAGCTTAGGCTAGCTTAGCCCAACATGCTAACAGTACCTGTCTGGAGAGCCTGGGCTGCTCGGAGCCGTTGAGCAGCGGCGTCCCCTCCCCGGTGGTCCCGGACTCGTCGGCCCGGCTGGACCAAGACACTTTCTTCGTGATGTTGGCCATGGTGTCTTCCGGTAGCTCGCCGCTATGACTGTGGCTAATTTACTTCATCAGTGGCAGTTGTTGCTATAGCTAACTAACTGTTATTCTCCCTCAGCTCCTTCATGATCACTCTAGTGACTCGTGACGCCTTGTAAGGCTCGTGAGCAGGGTCAAACGAGAGCCGTTTAGGCGCGTTGGATGCTGGGACTTGTAGTTTTGTTGTTTAATAGGCGAAAGTCAGAGGGTGGGTGCAAAGACATCAATGCCAACAGGTTCACCAGTGGTGGAGTAAAAAATCCTGATGAATTAATATTCCAGATCCTGTTAAGGAGAAGTAGCAATACTGCGATATTTTAAAAAAAGTATTGAAGTATGAGCAAATGTGTCAAAAGTAAAAATATTAATAATTCGGAAAAATGGCGTCTTACAGTGTTAATAGTATCCTATTATGTGATTACAATAAATAAATGCATTAATGTGCAGGAAGCAGTTTTGTACCTTTATAGTTGGTCAGGTATAGCTTATATTAAGTATTTTATTAAGATATAGTTAGTTTGTTCATATTTTATGAACTCATGTTTTGTATGTAAAATATTGATCTGTAGCTACTGACTAATGCTGTCAAATAAGTGTAGTGGAGTAAAGAGTGTTCTCAAGTGCAAGTACCTTAAAATACTAACTCGTCATTCATTTGTTGGAGTCCAGATCATACACAATTTAAATTTACAAAAGCACACAACAAAAGCATGATCAGATTTAGAGATTTATTCATATAAAAATAAGCATTATAAGTTTCTACTGACAATCCAAAAGACAGACCAACATATATCTATATCTACAGTCACACAGTGGCTATCAATATAAAAGATATCCACGAACATGTAAGAAAGTGCAGCATCGTTGATAAAAAAAAATTCCTTTAATCTCCATCCTGTATCTGTATAATGTTTAACAAAATGAGTCAAAGTTCATATTAATTATTAGAGGCTGTTTTATTATACAACATGTTATGTCTGTTACAGATCAGAGGGAATCTGTCTCAGGAGTGAGCCTATGTTGAGACATTAATATCACATTTACAGGCACACTTATATTATTCTAGGATCCTTCTGTTAAATGATTGACTGGTGGATCAAACTTAGATTATTATTGACAGCTGATCAGTCTGAGTTCCAGTTTTGGTTAATATAACTTTAAGTCCAATAAGAATAGTGTTGTGAGACATATGAGAAAAGTCCAATAAGAATAGTGTTGAAACACATATGAGAAAAAATAATCTAAAAGGACAAGAGTGTTTATTTTAAAAGGCAGGCAAGAGACAATAAACATTCCCTGCAGAACTTGTTGGAATGAAACTCTTGATTTGAATCCTCCTCTGTAACTTTAATACACACAGTGCTCCAGACATTCACATGCCACCTGCTGCACCTCCCCATGGACCTCCTTGATGTCCTCCATGCCAAGCACCACCCCTCTGGGCACACCCCTTCCTTCTGCCACCCCTTCCACCTCCGAAGGACTCAGCACCCGGCTCCACATCCTGAACCCGGCCACCTGCCCAGCGAAACCCTCTGCAGGGTCGAACCCCCCACCGACGGTGTCCTGCTCCTGCCCCAGCACCACTGATCCACCGCCAGGAATCTCCCAGCCCTTCCTGAAGTTGGAGCCCGAGGAGGCGAGCCGCCCGTCACTGTAGTGCCAAAAACGACCCTGGATGGAGGACCAGAGGGCGCAGAGGTGGTGCCAGCGAGCGTCCAGGAGCGACGACGCAGAGAGACGGCGATAGACGGGGTCTCCAATGACAAAGTCCAGGGAGGGGGAGGAGGAGGAGGGGCGGGAAGATGAGGAAGATGAGGCAGAGGAGTTTCGTCCATACAGAACTAACTGGTTGTCGTTGAAGTCTGTGGCATAAGAGAGCAGAGTGCCGACATGTGAGGCCTCCACACGGAGCCACAAACACACAGAAAGTTCAGGAAGGTCGGGGAGAGACCGGAAGAAGGTCACGTAGTTCTCCGTTGAGGCCGAGGGGAAGAACAGCATGGAGTCCACGTTACAGACTGCAGACAGAGGGAGAGAGAAGATAAATAAAAACCCTGGAGCCAACATGTAAACATTGGTTTCGTAAGTTACAGTTTAAGGCTTTACTCACCATTCCCCTCAACACACACAGACAAAATACATCCAGGACATAAACCAGCGAATTGATTAAACAGATGAGTTATAATGTGTTAATTAGTGAGCTTTGGGGGTTGCTGCTTGGCAGATTTTGTTACCTTCTGTGTCTCCGTTTCCGGTCTTTGTGCTAAGCTAAGCTAAGCTAACCTGCTGATGGCCGTGGCTTCACATTCAATGGACAGATCCATAGTCCAGGTCTCAACATTGTATGTCCAGTCACTGGTTGAAAATACAAGATTGTCGGAGTGTTGGTTTCTTTCTTTGGCCATTTTCATACTGTGATTGTTTTTGTTACCTGGAAATGTAATCAACACTGTGTAGAATGTATTCGCCCCCACAGGGGAAACATGAAGAAATGGCTCAATCTGGTGGAAAATGGTAAAAACAACCATTTTTGAAGCCAGGGCTCCAAACGATCAAAAGCCTGATATAATAGAATGTATGTTTTTGTGCTGTAATGGTTGTGGGATCAAAAATCATGGGACATTTTGTCCTTAGGGGTCTGTATTTTGGCTACACTGTTTATTATAGATGTATTATAGGAGCTGAGGTTGAGCTTCCAAAATCAAAAACTATTTATGCTGAATGCATAACACAGCCAACATGATCGAAAAAATAAATACAAATGAAAAGGACAAAAATGTCAGACAAAACATGTTTAAATGCATTACTTCTCTGAATATTCAGGTCATAAGTACCTCTAGTATTGTGAGGTATTATTGTCAGGTATTGTGAGACTATTAAAGGATTATCTTATCTTATCTAACTATTACTTACTGGTTGCATCCTTTTTGGGAACGGGTCGAGCAGGGATCTTGTGCCTCACAGGAAGATGGAGGAAGTTGTGGATCACTGAAGACTCAACCTTTGTGTCACTTTCTTCCTCTTCTCCTCCGTCCCAGTCGCTCACCTGATGAGACTCAGGCTGGGACTGAGGGAGATCATCTGGAACCCGGGCCTGTGGAGACCCCTGACTGGTCCTGCTGTGTCGGTCTTTAGTGGGTTCACGATAGGTTGGAGAATGAGGGAGGGGCCGGGGCCAAGAGGCGTGCCTGGGGTTGTGTGACTGGGGGTGACGGTTCAACCGAGGCTGGGATTGTTGCTGGACCTGTGCATGAAGATACGGCTCAGTCTGGCTCGACTGGAGCTGCTCCTGATGGATCGAGTACGGCTTTCTCTGGGCCCGGATCTGGATCTGGGACTGGGGATGGTAAGAGTCAGGCTGGGGCAGGTAATCTGTGGACCGGGGTTCAAGATTTGAGTACTGGACTTGTATCTGCTGATGAGATTCTGGTTGAGGCCTTGACTTCTGGGTCTTTGACTGTTTAGGCTGGTTCGGTGTTGCCTGGTACTGATGAGGCTCTGGGTGGTTTCTGTTCTGCACTGAGGACTGTGTTTGATTATCAGTCTGTGAATAGTTGATACCTTCTGATCCGGGTTGGGTATCCAGGATCCTTCCAGGCCTCCCTCCTCTCGGTGTTTGGCTCTGAGGTGTGACGTAGGAGTCAAGGGACCCTCTGGTTCTAACTCCTCCGTTCTGCTGCAGCACCTCACCGAGCCGGCCCTCCAGCCGGGTCACACGCAGGGCCTGGTTCTTCAGGGACTCCTGCAACCCTCTCAGCCCGATGAGCAGCTCGTCGCGCTGGTCCTGCAGGGCAGCCAGCCTTTCATCTTGGCTCTGGAGCTCCAGGGTGAGCATGGAGAAATCCTGACCAGGATCAGGCTTCTGTTTCTGGGCGTGTCGGCGGTTGTCCCTCAGGTTCCTCTCCATCAAAGCCAGACGACCCTCCATCCGTTTACTCTTCTTCTCCAGCTTCCTACTCCACTCTCTGGGAGAATAATCGACAGGAGAACACTTGTTGTTGGAAATACAGCATTTAAAATCAGGCCTGGTTTGTCAGATATATATGAAAGATATCTGGCGATACATTTCATAATAAATGAAAGGCATTGATTGCTGATCAATTCTGAAAGTTATTGCAAATGCAGATATATATCTATGTCAACAGGTGAGCTCTTCAAATGTTAAACTTTGCAAACTTTGCATTAGAGGAAATTAATCCAGTAAAACAATATGGATTCTCATTCCCCAGAAAATAATAGATGCTAAAAAGAAAAGCGACTCACTCAACACTTCAAATTCCTTCCTTAAATAAATCCTAATGTTTGAGCATCTATTTATATTTTAGTTTTCTTGTGTGAAGGTGTCTTTAAGAAATCAAATTCCTGTCATTTTATGCGCTGAAACTGGATTTACCTCAAATTGGCTTCTCTTCTCCACTCTGCTGTTTACTTTCTAGGATGCCGTTACTTACCAAAAACAACCAGTAGGGATTTATCTGGGATAAATGTATCCGCAGATATATTTACAGTCGACCCTTAATTAGTTATTTAGTGACATTTGTACCCGACCTCTGACCTGAGACCTTCTATCTCCTGCGTTGTGCTCAGCTTGAAGTGTTGGAGGTCCTGTGACACGCTGTGCCAGTTGTCACTCAGGGCCTGAACACGTCTCTCCAGCCCCCCCGAGGAGTTTCTGTTCTGGTTCAGGGCCAACATGTCCAAGCGGGCCTGGGTCAGTGCCTGGAACTGCTGGAACTAACAAAGAAGAAATGTGTTTTCACAAGTCTTTCTGCAGCTGTTTGGATTTGAAGGTCAGGAAAATACTCAAAACCTCCAGAAAGAAAAAACAAAACAAACATACAATGCATTTCTGTGATGACTTTTCCTCTTGAACAATCGTTGCTGCAAGAGTTTTTTCACCATTTCAGCTGCATACCCACAGTACTTTCACAAAATGAATAATTTGTTATTAGCCATTTTGTTTTTGTGTGTATGCCCGATAAAAGTGAAGAGGAGTAGGTCGACAGCAACAGTGAAGTCGAGGAGAAGGGTTTGAAGTTAAAGCTTGTTGAGTTGTAAAACCTAAATTTTATGCCTTTTAGGCTAATTATTAATCATTGTCACAGACGTTACATCAAAAACACATTACAAAATACAGTTTAGGCTCAGGTAGGCAATTCCTTTCAAGAAATATTATTTTATTTGTTGAGATTCTCTTGACATCCCGACAGCAATCAATAAATCAAATGCTCGGACTAAGAAGAAAAGATATATTGTATCTGTGGCTGTTGCAGTACTTAAGCTCCTTAACGTTCATTCATCACTAACTCAACACACAACGGAAAAAATACCAACAAAATAACTGCATAACAAACACATGAATGCAATAAAAATGTCCATTATTTTGACGAATGTTGGCCACACTTAATGCACACACACACACAAAGTCCAATTCAAACCTGCTCGTTGAGTCGTCGTAGTTTCTGGGACACAGGATCGACTCCCTGCACCTTAACGGGCTGAATTTGCAGCAGAAGCATGTGGACCAGGATCAGGGGCCAGCGGCCGGGCCTGAGGCTGCACATGGTGCAGTGTAGCTGGGATAGATGCAGCTGGGAGCCTGAGTCCCTGTCTGGATGTCTGGAGGTGAAGAGCAGAAGAGAGAAAGACATAGCAGAAAAGGGCTGGTCTTGATACACACTGTAAACACACAATGAACACATATGCACACACACGTACAATACACAAAAAGCACGCCCACAAGCTCGGACCAGACTTTCCATTTTCCACATCATCATTGGGGACCTCAGAGGAAATGCAGATGGATAAAACAGGTACTCAGATTCTCTCTGCCTCTCTTTCTCTCTCTCCTACACAAAGAAAAGTAAACTTCTCTTTCTACAAACTGATGTCCAGTGTTTATTAAAATGCAGAATAGTAGATTACTATACAGTTGTTTTTATGTTAAAGTGCTGAGAATGATGTTTTTCTCCACCACAATCCCACTTTAAGTTTGTTACTGGTATTACTGTTGTCGATCAGATTCAGCACAAGTAGAAAAGGTGTATACTTTTATTTGTATGTATGTGTATCGGGCTTATTGAGCAGTAAATGTCATGATGCGTGGGCTAATTGGAGAAGCAGGCTGTACTTTCCTCTTCCCCCTGACTCAATCATGGCTCCTTTCTTCTTCTTCTTCTTCTTTTTCTCTGACCAGCTCAATCCAGGAATGACACCGGTTATCTCTTTCCTTCCGCTTTATGTTCATGACCTGGTTGCAACACTTTGGCTTCATTTACACTGGACTAAAAGTCCACAAAATTGGCTCCAACAATCTGACCAATATTTTGTTTAAAAAACAATGTAGATGCACTTGAATCTGTCAACAGCTCATGTTTTGATTTAGTATTCTGTTTTCATTCCACACGTGTAATAATTCAGTAGTTTTTTAGTTTCACTTTAGTTAAATATTTTAAACAATTTTTGTCCTGATCATAACTACAAAATATTTCCTAATTTTAAGTATTTTAACCCTTTAAATGACAGTTTGTTTACATAATGTAACTGATGTATTTATGAAAAGACCCTACAAAAATGTAATTATTTTCTGTATACTAAATGCAAGGGGTTTACATTCACATTTGCTCCATAGTAAAGCAGCAATGCCCGTAGTGGAAACCAGGAAAATATCAAGTATTTGCCCCAAATAGCAAACATGAATCTGGTGAAAAATAGTAAAAAATAGAATTTTGAAGCCAGGGCTGTAAATGTTTGAAATCCTGACGTGATAAAATACATTGTTCTGTGCTGTAGTGGCTGTGGGATTTAAAATAGTGTTTTTAATGGGATTCAATGGGGGCTTTTCAGCCCCCAGAAGCCGAGGTTGAACCCTTGCCGAAATGCATATTAAATGCTTTAACACAGCAAAAATGATTGCAAAATTCTAAATTAAAAAGCCAAAGGGTAAAAAGTGCATTTTAAATTAATAATCTTTTATTTAAAACAATAAAAAAAAAAATGCTACAACAGTAACTGAGGGCAGCTTCTTCAAAATGTCCAAAGACGCACAACAAAAATTCCAGTTCGATGTCACTGGTGAAAGACCAGTGTCAACATAGTTTTTACTTTCTTTTTGACTGGTTATGTGTTAGACTCCTCCTTGTTTCAGTCTGTCAGCCTGGAAAACCTGCAGCACATGCAGGTTCATACAGATAGATATTACTGTTTATTAAACAAAACAGTCTTTTTATTTAACCGGTTTGTTTCATTTTCATTTTTAATCTGGCAGTGTTTTTAGAGGACAAGATTTCTTTTTGGTGATATTTCATCCCTGTGTGAGGAGAACAAACTGATCCTGACACAGATCGATAAAGGCTCCTCTGTGGGTAACGTCAGGCTCCTCTGCAGACATGGAAGAAGAGACTCCACTGCTGAACAGAAGACCAACGTCGACTAAATCCAAGGTTGGAAACATTTCACTTACTTTAATGGCTCTTAAAATCTCATCAACAGTGCAGAGATTTAATCTATGATTGATTTAATATGAACAGAAAAGATAAATTCTCACTGTAAGGATTACAGTCTGACTAGTTTCACAATGATATTTGAGTGTGTAGGTCAGCCTTCATTTGATTCTTGGATTAGTCGATTGCAAGTTAGAGGAAACATGATTTATTTCAAGCATAAAAGTTTGACACAGAGTAAAAAAGAGCCATGCTGTGATTGGCTCGTACTCTCTCTACTTTCTCAGCTGACTACTAGTTATCATAAATATAAAACACAGCTCCTTCCATTAAAGTTGTGCTATGCAGTTAAACATTTGACACAATTCACTAAAGTTCAACTAAAGGTTTCGCTGCAAGCATCATTAAATTATTGGCATGTTGCAAAAAGCCAGTTGGATTTGTTGAGCTAGCAAGCTCTTTGTTAAGATCGAGTTGGTACAAAATGAAATGTCAATGTAACACTAAGCAATTAGTAAACTAAGTTTTCCCCACTTCTTTCACCGAAATCACAAATTATGGTCAAAATGATTCGAAAGAATTTGACAAACTGAGTTATTCAGAAAATAACATGTATTTTTATTTTAAAACAAAGGCATTTTTTAGTGGAAGCTGTGAGAGCCTAAACGTCTCTTTAACTTGAACACACTGACACTTTCAGTGTGCCTAGTTCAGCTCTGAAACATAGAATCTATATGTGTGCATCTCATCCTCTGAGTTTTAGCTTCCACATCCTTCCACCCCAGATCAATAACTCCAAACTGTTCCTGGCCGTCTTCTCTGCTGTCCTGGGGAACTTCAGCTTCGGTTACTCCCTGGTCTACACGTCCCCGGTCCTGCCACAGCTCGTGGGCTCCGATGCGGACCCTCGGCTCAGGATGGGCACGGAGCAGGCCGCCTGGTTCGGCTCCATCTACACGCTGGGCGCAGCGGCCGGCGGGCTCGGGGCCATGCTGCTCAACGACATGATTGGACGCAAGCTGAGCATCATGATGTCAGCGGTGCCGTCGACTATTGGGTCAGTCACAACATGCAGCTGTGGTGGAAAGTTCATTCACTCAAGCACTTCTGTACAGTTTTGTTGTACACGTACTTCAAAGTATTTCAATGTTATGCTACTTTACTTTATTCTTCTACTCTTACTTTTTCCTCCACTGGATTTTATTTAAAGCTACAGTAATTTGTTATTTTGTAAATGAAACAAAATGGCTGATTAGACCTTAATCTATGAAGCAATCGATCACTGCCAATAGGTCAATGCTGTTGTATTAATAGATGATCGTGGTGTCTGTTTGTTTTAAAAACTCCCATCTGTATATATGTGTGTCTTAGATACATGCTGTTGGGGGGGGCTGTCGACATATGGATGCTCCTTGTGGGCCGTTTCCTCACAGGCGTTGCGGGGGGGATGACAGCAGCATCCATTCCTGTAGGTTACAGACTTTTAAAAAACCTGTTCATGCAACTTTTCCTCTTGTTTTTGGTCCCAATTACCCGTTTTTTTAATCAGAGTTTGATACGACAGTCCTGACAACAATCATGTAAATTGTCATGCTGTTTATTTGAGTGTTTTTTCATAATGCCTCTGTTCATGTGACTCTATGTTTGTGTGTTTATGTCACAGGTTTACATCTCAGAGATCTCCCACAAAGCAGTGAGAGGAGCTTTGGGCTCCTGCCCTCAGATCACTGCTGTGTTCGGGGCGCTGGCGCTTTACGTCATGGGTAGGATGGTATTTTAAGTCATGCATGCAAATTGTTCAGCTGTCTTCAACTTCAACCGCAAACATTTCCTGTTTGGCTTTCTCAACAATCACAGAGGCAAAAATCTATCATAGACCAGAATGTATACGTGCTATCGTGATCTGAACATCTCGTATGACGACGTTCAGGTCCGGTGGTGCCGTGGCGGTGGCTGGCAGTAGCGGGGGAGGTGCCAGCTGTGTTGATGGTTGTGCTGCTGGTGTTCATGCCCAGCTCCCCCAGGAGGCTCCTCGCTCTGGGCAGAGAGCAGCAGGCTGAGAGGGCCCTCCGCTGGCTGAGGGGGAAACACTACGACACGCACATCGAGCTCAGCGCCATACAGGTGGGAGACACACGGTCATAAAGGTGCTAACATCATACTCACACATTGACTTCAGTTGTGTACATGCTAAAGTTAAAGAACTATTCCATTTGAGTTTTATTTAAATGAATGTTTATCTGTTTTTCTGCACAATGCAGCACAGCATCAACACGCAGGGTAAAGTCACATGGTCGCAGCTGGCCACACCCATCTTCTACAAACCAATCCTCATCTCAGTGGTGATGCGTTTCCTGCAGCAGATGACGGGCATCACGCCAATCCTGGTCTTCCTGGAGACCATCTTCTCCAAAAGCACCATCTCCCTGCCGCCCAGGTTGGACATCTATTTTATTTATTACCAGTCTGTTTAGTCATCTTCTGTTGGTATTCCCTCTTGTTTTTATCTTCATTTCTCATGCAAATGTTGCTGTTTGCATTGATTGTCTGTTTGATTCAATCCCAGGATGCTCCATACTTCCCTTTTCTTCTTCTGTGTCTCTCAGTTATGCCGCTTCCATTGTGGGTGCGGTCCGCCTCTTTTCCGTTGCTGTGGCAGCCAGTTTAATGGACAAGGCGGGACGCAAAGCCCTGCTGTACATGTCGAGTCTGCTGATGTTCCTGTCCTCTCTGACTCTGACCATGATCTCCCACACCTCAGCTTTCCCTCCAGGCCCCGCCCCTCCTAATCTCACCATGAGTTTGGACTACAGCTCCCACAATGCCATTGGAAACACTTTGGATGCCGGCCCCCCAACTGCAGCAGCCCTCATCCCTCTCATCAGCACCATGGTGTTCATATTTGGTGAGTGTTATGTTGTTATGTTGAAAATCCACGCTTCACCTAATCTTTGGTGGCTGCAATGTCGCTCATCGTTTGGACATGAAATTTGCTTCAGATATTTAAGACTCCGAGAGGATGAAGTGTAATTTCCCATGCCTTTTCATCTCTTGCAACCATCAGGTCAAAGTTTCTTTGGTTTATGACCTATACAACTATGACATTACAATCAGCGGCAGCAGACCATAGCTTTCTAACACGCTCAGCATGTTAGCATGCTAACAATAGCATTTAGCTCAAAGCATCGCTGTGCCTAAGCAGCCTCACAGAGGCTGTAGACGCGTTAAAATTCATACTGCTCAGGTAGAAGCAAACTAGCACCTGCAAACAAACATCATATGGATACATACAGTAGATACTTGTTTGCTGGGCAAAGTATTTGATAACGTGTCAGGCTTGTATTTATCGAAGAAAGCACGTGCTGTTTGCTAGAAAATCACCTTTTGTCTTGCTCCAACAAGTTAAGACATGTCATGTCCTCAGGTCATTTTGTTACACTATGTTCTCGAAGCAACACCCATCTACTCAAACGACTACACAATTGCTTCTTGGGTCATTAAGTTAAATTGGTTCCAATTATGTTGTCACGCGTTACATATTTGGGAAAAGGTTTCAAACGTCCCAGCGTGGTCATGTGACGCTACTGAGATTAAAGATTCTCACCTGAGAACTTCATCGTTTTAGTAACTTTTTTAGGGTTAATTAATGGTGTGACCTTAACAAACGCTTTTCTACAACGACATCATCACCCGCTTTTCATTTGACCCGACTGGTTTGTCCCCGCGTTGTTGCTTGTCTCCTAGGATACGCCCTGGGATGGGGCCCAATCACGTGGCTGCTGATGTCAGAGGTGTTGCCGCTGGTTGCCAGGGGTGTGGCCTCGGGTCTGTGCGTGACTGTCAGCTGGCTGACGGCCTTCATGATCACGCACGCCTTCACGCACCTGGTGGATAGGTACGGCCTGTACGTGCCCTACCTGTGTTTCACGGTGGTGTGTGTGCTCTGTCTGCTGTTCACCGCCGTGTGCATCCCAGAGACTCGCGGACGCTCACTGGAAGAGATCGAGAACTATTTCAGGACGGGGCGAACGTTCACCATCAACAGGAGTCAGTCCATCGCACAGTCAAACTGAAGATCCCTTTGATCAAAAAGGAGTTACTGCCATGATATATACCTCTGAAACAAGGCTACTGCACAGTGTTTATTTTTTATAAATATGTAATAATCAATATTAAAGGTCTAAGGTGTATGTACAGCAATCAGAGGACAGGACAACTAGAATAATGACTGACTCACAGAAGGACCACTGATTGTAAAAAGCAATTAACAATAGGTCAAGAAGTAGGTAATAATCATGTCACGTTAATGAAGCACCAAACAACTATTTCCTGTGTGAAGATATAGCGGAGTAATGTCTACCTAAGTAGAGAATGATACAATACTAACACACAATGTAACAACACATTTTATCTTTAAATATATCACAATATTTAATTTTACATTTACTGACAATGCTATATATTGTTTTTGTCCATGTTGTATTCATACATTTAACAGTAAAATATACACTTGAGTGCTGACATTTCACAAGTTACTGTGTTTGTACTGAAAACTATCACAGACAGTCTCTCTGTGTCAGGTTGGTTATTGGATTGATTGACTTCAAAACATCTGCAAGAAAATACACAATACATGCAATATATAAAGCAAGTAAACAATAAATGTACTTTAAATGTTTATTAATCTTATCAGCTGTCTGGGGGGGGGGGGAAACTGGTTCATCATCTCCTCTGTGCCAAAAAAAACAAGAGGAGAGGAAACACTGGTGGCTGAGCAGGCCGGGTCACATGCCACAGTGCTCTCTCATTAAGTCTGACTCACAGCCTCCTCATCCTCCTCGTTCTCTGGTAGCAGCACTCTTCTTCATGTGGCTAAATCACAGCAGTACTGTAGACTTCTGTCACAGTACTGAAGTAGACACAATAATATACAAATACTAGTGCATAATATACCAATTTAAAGGAGTGAGTGTGACCATCTATACAATCAGTTTTGTGTTAACAATGAAATGTATAGTATAGTATGTGAACCTGTAGGTATGTGTGTTGAAAGCTGCCTTGCTATCACACTAAATCTCTTAACCAAGGTAGAACAAATAACAAAATATCTAAACAGTATTTTAGTAAATAACGTAAAGAATGAAAGTAGATTAAAATAATACATAGTTAGAAATACTGATGGATAATATTATTGTCTCTAACACAGCCTGAAAAAAACGTATAAACTAAATAAAGTAAGACTGTGTACTTGCATATAAATATTAGATACCTTCCTCCAGACTCTCCAAGGTACGATCTACTAACAGGAGGTGGACAAAATAACAGGAACACCTGACAATGTAATGAGTTCACATAATACTACTTCTGTTTATTCTGTACACTGTTTGATTAAGTTTTGTCAAGTAAAGGAGGAGACAACACAGGATTGTGTGTGTGTGTGTGTGTGTGTGTGTTTGTGTGTGTGTGTGTGTGTGACTTTGATCTCTTTAGCCGCACCTTACTGAAGCAGTGTGTACATTGATGAAAGGCAAAAGAAAAGCTTTAGTACAACATAGGTGCAGGACTGTTTGGTTTGTAAAACCATTGTGCTCTTACACAGGGGGCTACATACAATCTAATATAGCCTGCACAACGTATGGCAACGGCAATTGAGCAGAAAAAAAACCTTGTGTGAAGCAATAGTTAAAGGGATGTGACATTTTATTACTGAACTTTGATGTGTGTTCTGTTAGTACTGCTGCACTGTCACCTCTGTGTCCAGATAAATACCAAATAATAATAATAAGCATAATTTATTGACTCCCAAAAAGTCCTTTTCTGAGCATTTATCTGCAGGTACTCTTTCAATGCAATTGTCTTGGTAGAAGTTAATTTTTCTAAAATCTGTTTCCTGTAGAGATGCAATTTTCTTTGCAGATTTCCAATTTTTCAAAAGTCTGACCTGCCAATTCCGATTTTGTTCCTGATTCAGATTTTCTTTTGAAGAATTATAATTGAAATAATTTCAACCGTCCAGAAGTCGCTTCTCAATGTAATCTTTTTACTTTGTTATTGTAATTTTTAGTGGTTATTTGCATAAAAAACACACAATGAAATGATTCAGAAATGAATGATTTTTATTTATAGTTAAATACTTGTTTGGTAAAAGTTTACGTCATCGTTAGTGCTTGGAAGTTAGACATTTCCCTCTTGAATATCTATTTTATATTGCTGTGAAAAAATCTCCTTCAAACAAATGTATTTATTCAAGTTTCTCACCAAAAACTGATTTGTAAAAGATTACATTTGAATACATCATGTGAGTGTTATAATTTACCTTCCAAATACAAATTCTCACTGAGTAAAGCTTGAACGCATCATAATCAAGTCAGTGGAGCCTCCGTTCACGTTAGCCGCTAGCTCCGTAATGAGAAGAACTCTGCTAGAGACACTGTGATTAATATGAGCAGCATTATGGGAATAAATTACAAAATAATAAGAGTCTGATCCTCCACAGCCTATTTTGGACTTGAAGCTGTGAAAAATTGTGAGCTTTATGTTCTTAACTCACGCTGAAGAACTTCCACATTAACTACGTGTTGTGTGTGACGTTAATGTAAAATGGAGTGGTCTTGATCGGCAGCCAATCCATTGGTGCATCTCTAGTTTCCAGCTAAACAAGCTAGCCACTATATTAACGCTCTGGAGCTAAGCTACGGGCTTAGCTGTGCAGAGCTTGTCCTTAACGTCTGGTAACCTTTACTGAGCTCGTTAAACAGGAAACATTCCTGGAATAAATACTTTAAATAATACTTCATCAATCATAAACACACCATACCTGCCGCTAAAAGGTATGTTGCATTGGTAGGTATGCAGCTCTTAAGGTGTTTGGTCTGTGTGTGTGTGTGTGTGTGTGTGTGTGTGTGTGTGTGCGTGTGCGTGTATGCATTCAAAATAAACAAGTCAAACTAGGTTGTTGTCTGTTGTCCACATCAAAGGGTAAGACCACTAAAAGATAAACAGGTGAACAGACAGACAGAGAAGCAGGTAGATTCAGACATCGGTGACTCTCACAGCTGTTCGCTCAGTATCTTTATACCTGCTGAGTCAGAGGCTATTATTATCTTTCTGATTATACCTTCCTCCTCCCTCCTTCCTCCCTTCCTTCCATAATCAATGCTCGTCTCCCTCTCTCCTCCCTCTCTCCATCACTCCCTCCTCCTCCGCCTCACTGCTGCTTCATGATCTTTTTACCATTATATTAAAATGTGTTGATATGAGAGCGTCTTTGCACATTGGTCACCCTGAATATACGTTTATGACTTTTATTTGTAGTTTTGTTTTGCCAAAGATAAAATTCTCTAAAGCTACTCATCATTTTATGACGACTATTGATTTGTTCTCAGTCGACTAAGATTTATTTTGATGATTAGTCGTTTTTTATGCTTTTTTCATGCTGAGCACATCTCTGGTAAACACAATATTCAAACTGGTGCTTTTCTGTGGTTCTTTGTGGATGAACTCAGTTTTACAGATCTGTCGATTAAATCAACTAATCGTATGAGAGTTAATCGAATAAGAAGTTCTTTGGTCGAGGACGGCCATCACTGTCATACCGAAAACATGTTCCTCAAATCGAGCAATCTGATTGGTTTATAGCTGTGAAATAATAACCACATACCACGGCTATGAATTTCTTTGCACTTTCAGTATCACTCTGCGTCTGAGAGAAGAAAAAGTAGACTAATGTGCTGTCATGGTTGTTTAGGGGAGCACTTTTGCTAACTAAAGGAAAAGGTTGTGACAAAGTTAGCTGCTGAAACGTGCAACACAATGGAAACATTTAACTTCTATGGAGGAGTGGATTGAGCAGAGAAAAATCCACCTGCTAAACGACGTGCAGCTCTACATAAAGAGGAGGCTCAACAACGTTGCCCAGAATATGCAAGCAAGCGGGAACGCAGCAGAAATACACCAATCACTGCCTCTGCAGCACCACGATTCAGAAACTATCTCATGAGAGAGATTGTGGCTGTGTGTGGCCACAAGTGTGAAACCTCTCTCCAGCGCTCATGGAAACCAAAACTCTGGGATGGTAGAACGTGGGGCGACGTCCTCACCGCGCCAAGAAAATAAACCTCCACCTAACAAAAAAAAAAAAGGCTATTTCATGGCTACACTAGTTCAGCAGTCAGTTAGCATCTTAACTTTAGCAAACACTGAGCAACTAAGAGAAACACAATTTCTATTTAGTCACATTTTCTCCACCATAAATAAATTAAAATACTTTATTTGTTCCCTTGCTTATTCACTTGATAAAATGAGCCATGACTGAACTACAGGTTGTTTTAGGACAGTAAGAAAGAAAGGAATAGCTTCATTGATAACCCACCAGGCTCCCCGGAGTTGTGCTCCAAGCTTCATACTACATTTTTGAAATACCTTTTAAATCAGAGGGTGGATTCGGGGCCTCAGGCAACATTTCTTCTGAGATAAAATGCTAAAATCGATACCTTGAATAGTTAAAGAATAATGGATGAAGAGGTATTGCCGTCCCAACCTAAGGCGTCGTCTCAGAAGTTTAGCGCTCAACCCTCCAGTTCCTCCCCAGGAAAACACTGTTAGCTCAGTCAGCACTGCTGCCGTTGTTTAAACTGTTTTAACACCGTTAGCTGCAAGCCGTTGCCATGTTGAGAGCCACAGGGAGGCAATCCCTCAATCATAGATATGCTCTGAATTTTGAATTTAGCAACTCTAAACAGGTCTCTTGCAGTTTTCATACTGATAACAATTTTATTTCTATCCCATTGCAAGTATAATTTCAATTTAATAATATTTGACCTATTGTTGGTACTGGTCTTGCTTTACTTATGGTTTCAAAAGTAAAAATTGTAATTCTGCATGTCTTCTCTTTTAAACAAATAATTGGGTATGAAAAATGTATGAATCTATGAACATAAGTATCAGCATTAACGTGTCACAGCTATCATGTCCCAGTTTATGCAAAACTTCGTTACACACACACACACGCCTCAGTCTTTCTACAAAATGTTGAACTCGGTAGGGATTGGTCTAATCTCTGGAATGTTGCTCATCAGGCCCATCGAAACACACAAACACACACAAACACACACACTCACACCACCTCACCCAGTTGACATCATGAGCGGAGGAAACACCCGACACTCTCACCCACACACTCTCTCAAACACACACACACACACACACACACACCTTGACTACTCTAGATTCTCCAACTGAGGTGTTTTGGGGATGAAGGAAAATTGGGAAAGAGAATGTATGCATTGGATCATTATTATTCAAGAAAGAATGAAAACCCTCGTGTTTTTGAACGTGCACTCATGCAGCATTAGTCTGTAATGATAAAAGGTCAGTCAGGTTGATGCAGTCTAACTTTAGAAACAGGCTCTGGGCTGGAATAGATTGATTCCCCACAGATTATGAAAATCATAATTCATTACAATTATTTTCCAGCCTCCCTCTACATACATGTGAAGGTGTGTTTAGGCAAGGCCCTCAACCTGAAGCTGTGCTCTGTCACCCAGTGACCAACAGTAGAAAAATGTGGTTCAACTGGCCTGCTCCCAGCTGACTGAGGGAAAATGCAAACCTGGCATCGTTTGAGCTGAAATTTAATGACGTTAACAAAAATAAAAAGAATCTCAGGTGGGTCTGATTATTCCAAATAAACCTAAAGTGTCATGTTCTCTGCAAAAATGCAACCACAAGCCGTATTTTGGCATCAATCGTTGCATTGTGTGTGGTTTAAATAGCCAAACCTCTCAACACGGAATCATTCACCACATCCTTGTAGCCGGCTGTCTATCATCAGCAAACAATGTCGAGGGATTGGTTGGATTTTCACATACTGCACGTCTTTTGCGTGGCCATGTGTTTCTGACTCACTTCTATAATTTGTTTGTTTGCAGCACCAATCAGTTTGTTTGCAGCACCATCATAAAGAGAAGTTTGAAAAGAGCATCATTCAGTTTTCATTCAAAGGACCATTAACCTTTAAGGAATTCTTTGATATTTTGGGAAATAGACAAACTTTATAATGGAGAGCTACTGTTTATGAGGAGAGAGATATCCATCTAGATCCATCCCCTCGTAGAGTGCAGAGGCAGATGGGTTGTGGAGTTGAATATGTATATATATATATATATATATATATATATATATATATATATATAAAAGTCTGCTCACTCATTGATATTTTTCTGACCATGGCTCCGAAATATTAGTAGAGTAACTGTGCTATGTATCGATAAAGCCGTGGTGCTGTCCGTGGTGCTGAAGTAGCAGACGGATTTGTAAATGCGACTAAAACAGTCGGCGGGTAGCTAGTCGCGGCTAAACGCTACCACTGTAAATACTGAACAAATCACCTACTGGCCATGCTATTTCTTGTCTGGGACCATTTCATTCCTAAAAAAACTGCTTTTGTACGGATTAAACAAACAACAAACTGTATATATCGTGTTAATTATTGCGTTTTAGAGGTGCATGTAGGAGGACTAGCTGTTTCTCACTGTTTCCAGTCGTTATGCTAAGCTTAGCTAACCTTTTGCTATCCTTATATTTAATGAACAGATGAGATTTGTATCAATCTTCTAATATAACTATCTGCAAGAAGACGAATAAGCATATACATTTTTCTTGAAACAAAAAAGAGAAATTTAGTTGCATGATCAGAGTATGACAGGCTTCACTTTTTTGTGCTGTATACAGCACAGACAGTTACGTAATTCTTTACAAAATCACGCATAACAGCTCAAGTCTTTGTAGACGGAGGCTCTGGGACAAAATCTTATTTTAATGTGTGTTTGGTTGAATGTGTTTCTGTTCTGGAAGTTGGAAGGAAGAAGTTCTGGCAACCTTTGCCCTAACATCACCAAACCCAGGACTCCAGCCTAAGGCTTAACCTGGGCTTTTCATACACTACATGCATACAGATGTGTGTGGTAATGTTCAGATTCCTCACATTCTTGACATTTTTGTGTGGCAAATTGTAAAAAAATTTAACTGTATGTTCACACAACTCAAACGTTGTTGCTGACCTTCCGGTCACATTCCAGGTCAGAACCTATGATCGCTTGAAGTCTGTGTGTCAGGTAGAACAGTCTGCTGAATACAAGCAGCAGGAGGGAAACTGGTTATTCTCACTAGAGAGTGACACAATCACACACACACACACATACACCCTCAATAATCTCCCAGGAACAAAGAGCACGAGAAGACGACCAGTTCAGCATTTCAAAGTTACACCTAAAGTTACACCTAAACCACCTAAGTGACTCATTAGTGCAGCACATTCAGTCTTTGTCAGTGAGGGTGGGGCAGTGGGCGTGTCCGGGGAGGGGCTTGTAGAGGTACAGGTGAGACAGGTGGACGTACCCGCTACAATCAGTCTGGACTCATCAGCAGCAGCTGACACACATCTCTGCGTATAGACTGCAAAACCCCACAGAGGTAAGACCAGATAATATGGGATGTACAGAAAAGAGGACTTGATTGAACAGATTCAGATCTGGTGTTTCTTGAGTTTACATTAAACGCTCAGGAAGGAAAGGATTGGTAGTTATTAGAAAGATATGGAGAAAAACAGAACAGAATATTCATCTTGAGCTTTAAATCTCACATTAAATTACTGTTAATGAATCTGTTGTGACCTTAATCTGGCTCTATGGGTTCTAACTCAGCTTGCAGGAACATTTCCAGACAGGAAGTCATTTTAATTTAAATGCTTATTCTTTTTTTCCACTTTTGTTGTGGTTTGCCTCCTATTGTCCTTGTGTTATTCTTTTGTATTTGTTTGGTATGTGAGGTTGTGAGCAGTATGTACATGGGTGTAGCCCGGAGGACATGCAGCTCTTGTTCAGTGGCTTAGAAAGAAAGTAAATGAGCCACTCAGCTGAATTAGTATTACTATATGTATGTATGTATGTATGTATGTATGTATGTATGTATGTATGTAT